ATTGACCCTACTTGATATGCATCTACCGATCTGGCAAATACATTTTTCTTAATATCTGTTAGCCGAGGCCACCAGAAGCAGCATGCTTTTTGTGGACAACTCCAGCAATACACCTTCACTGACCTACCTCAGGCACAGATCAACTCTTTAGTCTTATGTCATAATTTAATCCACAGGGAGTTTGATCACATTTTTCATTTCTGTGAGACATCACACTGGTCCATTATATCGATGATGCTAGACCTAGTGATTGGACCTAGAGTAGTAACTCTAGAGTAGTTACTACTTCTTAATCACTAGGTCCAATCGGTAGGTCTAGCATCGTCAGTATAATAGACCAGTGTGATGTCTCATAGAAATGAAAAACATTGGTGAGACATTTGCAAGACATAGAGTGGGAAATGAATCTGACAAAAATTCAGGGAACTTACTCCTCAGTAAAAATCTTAAGAGTCTAATGGCGTGAAGAATGTCAAGATATGCATTCTATGGTGAAGGATAAATTATTGCATCTGGCCCCTCCTACAACCAAAAAAGAGGCCCAAAGTCTAATGGGCCTTTTTGGGTTTTGGAGGTAGAATATGCTCTATGTCATCGCTAAGTATGTGGTTCCATTTTTTCCCCACAGCCAGTTTTCAAGGTTCTAGGAATCAAGGGGTGAAAATAGCACACACGCTTTCCTCTCTAGCGATCCACTAGAAAACATGCTCTTCTCATTCCTATGACCTATGTTCTGCTGGTCTAGTGGTCTGAGTTCCAAGGAGAATAACTCTTCCACCACGGTCACAATAATAGTTCCTTTGAACTGGAAGTGAAGACTACCACTTGGCCGCTTTGGGCTTCTTATGCCTTTGAATCAACAGGCCAAGAAAGGACTTACTGTACTGGCTGGTGTGGTTGATATGGATTCTTTTTTTTTTTTTTTTTTTTTTTTTGAGACGGAGTTTTCGCTCTTGTTACCCAGGCTGGAGTGCAATGGCGCGATCTCGGCTCACCGCAACCTCCGCCTCCTGGGTTCAGGCAATTCTCCTGCCTCAGCCTCCTGAGTAGCTGGGATTACAGGCACGTGCCACCACGCCCAGCTAATTTTTTGTATTTTTAGTAGAGACGGGGTTTCACCATGTTGACCAGGATGGTCTTGATCTCTTGACCTCGTGATCCACCCGCCTTGGCCTCCCAAAGTGCTGGGATTACAGGCTTGAGCCACCGCGCCCGGCCTGGTGTGGTTGATATGGATTCTAAGGGAAAATTGCACTTTCACTACACACTGGAAGTGAGGAAGAGTGTGTCTAGAATACAGGAGATACCTTGGGACATCTTTTAATATTTAATACTACCATGGTCTGGGATTAATAGCACTGGACAATTACAATTCAATTCAGGATAGTCCAGACCCCTCAGGAGTGAATGTCTGGGCTATTCTGCTAGACGAGGAAGCGTGTCTAGCTGAGATGCTTGCTGAGGGCAAAGGCAATATGGAATGCATATTGATAGAAGGTAGTAATAAGTACCAACTATGATTAGGTAACTTGCAGAAATGAGGACTATAATTCTTGTATTTCTTCCTTATTTTGCTATGAATATATTGTACATAAAAATTTTTATGTGTATATATACAAAGAATATATACATATATGAAGAATATATGCATATATGTATATTCAAATAATATGCATATATAGTTGCCTGTTGATACACTGTATAAGGACCACAAGTATTTTTTGTTTTCTGCTTCTTCTTATACTTTTATCATTTAAGATAAGATGTATCAGGATACAAAATCAACGTGCAAAAATCACAAGCATTCCTATACACCAGTAATAGACTTCAAGAGAGCCAAATCAAGAACGAACTGCCATTCACAATTGCTACAAAGAGAATAAAGTACCTAGGAATACAACTAACAAGGAACGTAAAGGACCTCTTCAAGGAGAACTACAAGCCGTTGCTCAACGAAATAAGAGAGGATACAAACAGATGGAGAAACATTCCATGTTCATGGTTAGGAAGAATCAACATCGTGAAAATGGCCATACTGCCCTAAGTAATTTACAGATTCAACGCTATTCCCATCAAGCTACCAATGACCTTCTTCACAGAACTGGAAAAAAACACCTTAAACTTCATATGGAACCAAAAGAGAGCCCGCATAGCCAAGTCAATTCTAAGCAAAAAGAACAAAGCGGGAGGCATCACACTACCGGACTTCAAACTATACTACAAGGCTACAGTAATCAAAACAGCATGGTACTGGTACCAAAACAGAGATATAGACCAATGGAACAGAACAGAGGCCTCACAGGAAATACAACATACCCACAACCATCTGATCTTCGACAAACCTGACAAAAACAAGCAATGGGGAAAGGACTCCCTGTTTAATAAATGGTGTTGGGAAAACTGGCTAGCCATGTGCAGAAAGCAGAAACAGGACCCCTTCCTGACACCTTACACCAAAATTAACTCCAGATGGATTAAAGACTTAAACATCAGACCTAATACCATAAAAACCTTAGAAGAAAATCTAGGCAAAACCATTCAGGACATAGGTGTAGGCAAGGACTTCATGACCAAAACGCCAAAAGCAATGGCAACAAAAGCCAAAATAGACAAATGGGACCTAATCAAACTCCACAGCTTCTGCACGGCAAAAGAAACAGTCAGTAGAGTGAATCGGCAACCAACAGAATGGGAAAAAATTTTTGCAGTCTACCCATCTGACAAGGGGCTGATATCCAGAATTTACAAAGAACTAAAGCAGATCTACAAGAAAAAAACAAACAAGCCCATTCAAAAATGGGCAAAGGATATGAACAGATACTTTACAAAAGAAGACATACAGGAGGCCAACAAACATATGAAAAAATGCTCATCATCACTGGTCATCAGAGAAATGCAAATCAAAACCACATTGAGATACCATCTCACACCAGTTAGAATGGCGATCATTAAAAAATCGGGAAACAACAGATGCTGGAGAGGATGTGGAGAAATAGGAACACTTTTACACTGTTGGTGGGAATGTAAATTAATTCAACCATTGTGGAAGACAGTGTGGCGATTCCTCAAGGACCTAAAAATAGAAATCCCATTTGACCCAGCAATCCCATTACTGGGTATATATCCAAAGGATTATAAATCATTCTACTACAAGGACACGTGCACACGAATGTTCATTGCAGCACTGTTTACAATAGCAAAGACCTGGAACCAACCCAAATGCCCAACGATGATAGACTGGATAGGGAAAATGTGGTACATATACACCATGGAATATTATGCAGCCATCAAAAACGATGAGTTCACGTCCTTTATAGGGACATGGATGAACCTGGAAACCATCATTCTCAGCAAACTGACACAAGAGCAGAAAATCAAACATCGTATATTCTCGCTCATAGGCGGGTGTTGAACAATGAGAACACATGGACACAGGGAGGGGAGCACTACACACTGGGGTCTGTTGGGGGGAAATGGGGGAGGGGCGGGGGGTGGGGAGGTGGGAAGAGATAGCATGGGGAGAAATGACAGATACAGGTGAGGGGACGGAAGGCAGCAAAGCACACTGCCATGTGTGTACCTATGCAACAATCTTGCATGTTCATCACATGTACCCCAAAACCTAAAATGCAATAAAAAAAAAAAAAAAAAAAGATGTATCAATAACAGCCAGGTTTACATGTATAGCTGTCGTCTGCCAGATTCCTACTCTCACAAGTGAAATATAGTGAAATTTTTAGTCACCCAGATACATAGTCACATGTCTCTTTGAGGAAAAGTGGATGAAAGATTTAGCTATTTAAGGTTATATCTCAATATTTCAGTTACAGGATTATCAAGGAGAAGAGTGAATGTCACTCAAAAACTTTGCATCCATTTTTTGGGGGAAAAGGTTTGACATATTCATAGTTGCATGCAAGACAGTTGTGTCATTTTAGGCAGAGTTATGCCTTGGTCAATTATTTTTTGTTTGGAGATTAAGTATGGTTTAAGGAGATTATGTATGAATATCAGATTGACAATGTGTGGACTGTGATTTGTTTTACATGTGCATTTGGCTAGGTTTCAGTACCCAGTCATTCAATCACACGTCAGCCTAGGTGTTACTGTGAAGGCATTTTGTAGATAGGGCTTACAGCTACAAATAAGTTGACTGTATATAGAGATTATTCCTAACAATATAGGTGGAACTTATCCAATCGGTTTAAAGACTCAAGGTTTTCTAGAGAAGGAGAAATTCTGCTGTGGACTGACGCATCAACTCCTGTCAGAGTTTCCAGCCTGTCCTTCCTGTGGCATGCCCTGTGGATTTGGGATTTGCCTAGGCAGCCCTCACAATTGTGTAAAACAATTCCTTGCAATCGTCATTTATTCTGTCTTTCTGTTTTTCTATCTATCTATCTATCTATCTATCTATCTATCTATCTATCTATCTATCATCTTCCTTTCTCTTGCTCTCTTTCACAAATTTTTGCTTTTTTCTTCCTCTACCTCCAGCATCACTCTCTCAGATGACCCTCCAGAGGTCTAATTATTACCTCCACCCACTGTTGACTTCTCTCCAGTTCTGGTCTTTATTCTACCTTCTTATCCTGACCTCCCTTTGAAGGTCCTCTTTCATCATTGGTTTCTTTTATTTTTTTTTTTAAGACAGCGCCTTGCTCTGTCACCCAGACTGGAGTGCAATGGCATGATCTTTGGCTCACTGTGACCTCTGCCTCTCGGGTTCAAGCAATTCTCCTGCCTCAGCCTCCTGAGTAGCTGGGATTACAGGCACACGCCACCATGCCCAGCTAATTTTTGTATTTTTAGTAGAGATGGGCTTTCACCGTTTTGGCTAGGCTGATCTCAAACTCCTGGCCTTGTGATCTGCCTGCCTTGGCCTCCCAAAGTGCTGGGATTACAGGTGTGTGCTGGGATTACAGGTGTGAGCCACTGGGCCCGGCCTCATCATTGATTCCTATCTCGGCCCTGATTCTCCCTCACCGTCTCACTTTTTCTCACAACTTCACACTGGGTCTGTTCCTGCAGCACTCCTTTTACTCACATCACTGGCCTTCTCTCTGCCATCCAATGCCCCTCTGACATTGGCCTGCATATTTTCACTAATGTTTTTCTTCCTGCCTATAAATTGTCTTATATCTTCTGCCTTCAAAGACTTTCTGGCCCCTGGGTTCCACTCATCCTTCATGTGTTCTTAGTTCACCTTCACAGTTGACTTTCTCATCTTAGTAAACCAGGGTCTTCTCTGCCATGAGTCCTTGCTCCCCACATCTCTCTGGCTCACCCTCACCACTATGTTTCTGCCTTCCCAGCCCTTTGTGTGTACGGACTTCATCTTCTTGTAGAACTGTCTTCTGCCCTCATCACTTGCCTTTTCCATGCTTTTCCTGGAGCATGGCACAGGATCCTGTTCCTGTATCTGGTTCTCACTCTGTCTCTGGACACCTTCTGTCATGATATTGTCTTCTCACCAAACTTGGTCATCTCCATTGATCCCACTGATTCATTTGTCTTTTATCTGCTACCACAATCACTCTTCTCCATCCTCCTTAGACCTCACCGTATCTGTGATGAACACAAACTGTGACTCAATTAGGGCATGACAATTTGATGAATATTGTCCCAGAGAGTTTAGCTCCAGATAATTCTATTGATTGGCCTTGAATTTTCCAGTAATCTATTTCAGCCATCTCCTGGCGGCTGGTGGCTGCCTAGAACTCATCCCATTCCTCTTACTCAAGCTGTGACATCAAGCAGGAGTTTTGTTCTCTTCGTCAGAGACCTTTTCCAGAGAAGATCGCAGAGGCAGACATATGGATGCCGGTAGCCTCTATCTCCTCAGCACTGAAATCCAGGAACTTCCATATGCATATGTCAAAAAAGATTGAATTTCTAGATTTGAGAGGAGGGAGAAAGAAAATAATGAGGTATTATTCCCAAAGCATTTGAGGCAAAAGTATTGAATGGATTATTATGGGACCCTCCTAGAATACTTGCTAGACTCCATCTTAGAATCACATGAGAAGCAAACCACACCCTCATGTCCTTCTGTGAACTGGGTGCAAACCAGAACAGCAAACAGCTCTAGCAGGGTCTGAATCCCAACAACTTTTTGAAGCATTAGCAGCATATAAATAATGTCAAGTATTCTAGTGTCCATCCCTTTACCCAGCAAGTCCTGGATGATTATTCTTCCTGGAACTATTTCTGGGTTTTAAAATAGCTTGGTTTGAAAATTAGTTCAATAAATATTTGTATAGTTTTATAAACACTACTGTGCCTGTAAAACGAAAATGTATTTTATTGTGTGTGCTTATATGCAGTGCCAACATGCCATAGCATGAATTTTTTTTTCTCATCAATCAGTATCAACAGGGTTGGCCAGGTGCAATGGTTCATACCCATAATTTCAACAGCTTGGGGGGCTGAAAGGGGAGCATCACTTGAGGCCAGGAGTTCAAGACCAGCCTGGGTAACATAGCAACAGCCTATTTTTACTAAAATAAAAATTTAAAAGTTAGTTGGGTTTGGAAGTATGTCCCAGCTACTTGGGGGCACTTGAGCCCGAGTTTGAAGCTGTGGTGAGCTATGATTGCACTCCAGCCTGAGCGACAGAGTTCCTGTCTCTAAAAACAAACAAACCACCACAAAATAAACAATGTTCAACTCAGCATACATAATGTGATTTGTCATGTTATAAGAGGGTATGCAAAAAATTGTAAGGATGTAATCACTGTAAAGAGGTGAGAATAAACATAGCATTGACTTGGGCAAAATTTTTCACGGAAGCACTTATTTACGTAAGCTCCTTTGGTATTTATAAGATTCTCTTTCAATATCAGTAACCCAAGCAGACAAATACTTGAATTTTCCCTTGACACTCAGTGACGTTCTAATTAGGCCTCCATTGTCTATGATTCCATTTCTTCTGTATCTTATCTCTTTAGCCTCATATCACCACTTTACTTGTGAAATCTCTTAGAAAAAACTTAATACAATAAATATAGTTTTTAAAGTACCTGCTATGTGGTAGGCATTGGGAACCAGAAATATAAAATCAGATACAGGACCCTCATGTAATTTCCAGGCAACCGAGGGTGGAGGACACTGATCAACTATTGACTCAAAGAGTGGCATATGTAATACTAAAAACAAGGCAGAGTGCTAGAGAGAGAAGTCATGTTGGGGGGTTTGACCTTGCCATCTATGACTGTTTGGGAGTTAACTTTATGGAGAAGAGAAGAAAGAAAGAGAAGAAACAGAATTCCAGGAATAGGAAACAAATTCTACCAAGGGCATTGTGATACAGCGTGAGAGTTTGAATTCCTAACATTAGTCTAACATGATTGTCATGCTGAGAATTGCTGCTGGTTTGGTGTAGGAAGAGAAGGAATAAGTACACAATAGTTAGAACGCACAGGGACTTCTAGGTTTTGCTATATACTTTGGTGTTATTCTAAGGAAGATATTGAAGTATTTTAAATAGGAGGTTGTATTGTCAGTATATTACTTTTTAATATCACTCAGGTTGCGTGATAGTGAGTGATTGAAATAGAGTAAGCGTTTCATTTCACCCACCAAGACCTTGTCCTTGCAGTTATTTCGTATTTTAGTACCTTTGTATTAAGGTCATGAAAGTGGTGACTGAGAGAATGGGACAAACTTGAGAATTATTCAAGAAAAAGACATCGGCAAGCCTCAGTGACATGAGAGAAAGAGAGGAAGGAGCAGCCTAGAGGTAAGAGAGAGAGGCTGATGGCAAGATGACACCTGACTGATAGCTTGCATGATTTTCTTGTATGGTGTGCCATTTATTGAGAAATGAAACACTAGAAGATGGTTCCCTTTGTAGGGAAAGTTAATAAATTATTTTTATATGTCTAGTTTGAAATACCTTTGAGATATTTTATTTGATACATTAAATAGGCAGTGTGGTATATGTGTCTGATGATCAGGGAATGATCTGAGAGAGAGATGTAAATTTGATATACATTGCTTCGTAGGTGGTAATTGGAGCTGAAAGAATGGAAGAGATTAGTTAATTGTTGTAAGAGAAGATATAGAGAAAATAAAGAAGACTGAAGTTCCAATAATATAGGCAAAACAAGATTATAATAACTGAATAAATCAATTAATTCAGATGAAAAATACTCTTCATACCTATTCATTTTTGGTAACATTTTATTTACTCTATCACTCTTACTACACCCCCAAGAAGTAGGACTATACCCATTCAAATCATAATTGAACACACACACACACACACACACACACACACACACACACACAGCTCTGTAGATATACAACTCTCTGGACTTTGCTGTGATCTGAGTTCAAGCCTCACGTAGTGTTTGTCTTTCAGTCACAAAAATGAAGGCAGACTTTCTGCAGAGTGGATTACAGTTCCCAAACCTACTCTTTATCATCCTCACAATTTCCTGGAACAATATTATTACTAGACACTGGGCACATTTCTTGCTTTAGGTTCGTGGTTTTCTGTTGTTTATTGAATACCTGTAGGAAGATAGAAAATAGTTGTCTTCATACCAGCTGGGTGCACTGGTGTGCACCTGTAGTCCCAACTACTTGGGAGGCTAGACAGGAGAATTGCTTGACCCTGGGAGGCAAAGGTTACAGTGAGCCAAGATCGCACCACTGCACTCCATCCTGAGTGACAGAGTGAGATTCCATCTCAAATAATAATAATAATAAATGGAAATATGCAGAGACTAAAAAGGACCTCAGAAAATATTTTCTAATTTTTTAATGAAAATATAGTTGTTAAAAGAATGTAAACAATACACAACAACATAATAGGTAAAATAATTCTTCTCTGTTTTATTTCTCAAAACTTCACTCTATAGTTAATCGTAAGTATTAGAGGTTAATGATAAAATATATCTTCCGATTTTTTACGTTTGAAACTTATTGATCACTGTTAGAAATAAGTGAACACTTCTATTTTGTGTAATAATCTTCTGCTCTCATACTTTGCACTTGATAATTTCTTTCTTGGATAAAATGATAAAATAAAAAGGCAACAGTGGGCTGGGTGTGGTGGCTCATGCCTGTAATCCCAGCACTTTGGGATGCTAAGGTAAGAGGATCACTTGAGGCCAGGAGTTCAAGCCCAGCCTGGGCAAGAAAGCAAGGCCCTGTCTCTACAAAAAAATTAAAAAAAAAAAAGTTAGCTGGGCATGGTGGTGCATGTCTTCAGTTCCAGCTACTCAGGAGGCTGAGATGGGAGGGAATGGGAGGGACCCTTGAGCACAGGAGGTTGAGGTTGCAGTGAACCATTATGGTGCCACTGTACTCCAGCTTAAGTAACAGAACAAGAGACTCTGGCTCAAAAAAAAAAAAATACCTTCAATGGAAAATCTTGTTTCATATATAAATCTTCTGAGTGGATGGAGTAAGCTTTCTTTTCTTTGTCAACTTTCTGTATGAACCATTTTATATAAATTATTTTTCAGACTGTAAGAGTTAGGAAATTTAGACCTGTTCACGCAGATCAAGACCAACAATATTGGACAACACTTTCTTGTGATGTAATAATAGATTAAGCCGTAAACAAGCTACGATACAATAAGCTCACAAATGAGGGTCAAAGAGCTGTGGTCCACCCAGGTCCATGACTTCCTTCCAGATGGAGTATTTAAGCTAATTGAACAAAAGGCTGAAGGATTTTGGTAGTGCTGTAGAAAACTCTAAAGGAAACAGTGAATGTTTTATGAAACCACTGACTGATTCTTACTGACAGAAGAAAATATCTTCTATGTGCACCTTCTATGTGCTTGGCTCTGTACTAGAAGCTGGGAATGAATGGATGAGTAAGACATACTTCATGTTTTCTAATAGATCACAGTGGAGGGACAGACGTGTTCCAGCTACTGCAATGCAACAGGGTGATCACTAAAGAAGAATTCTTAATAGGTGTATTAGCAGATACTAAGGTCATGGAGTCAGACTGTCTAATTGGAGTCCTAGCTTTACCATTTACTACAAGACATATTTGCACGACTTTTACTTCTGTTTTTCCCAGTCTTTAAAACTCAGGTAAGAAGAGTAGCTTAAAGAGATATTATTGTTTTGCTATTAAGTAATATTATTCAGCACTGCTTGGGCCATACTAAATGTTCAGTACATAAATGTTAGTTATTATTATTAAATAAAATTATGAAATAATATCTAGAAGCAAGAGAATAACTAGGGAAAATGGAAGGAAGGAAGAAAGCAGCATCTGAGCTGATGTGGCATTTATTGCTCATCATTCCCTAATATCTCTTTTTCTATAGCATACCAACCCCTGAGCCAACGTGTACATGGAAAGCCATCATAAAGGTTGTATTTTCCACTCTACCTTTTGGCTAGGTGTGAAAATATGACTTACCTAATTTCCGACTACTAGAATAGAATGGAAGCAATTTTTTTTAAAATTGCATTTTAGGTTTTGGGGTACATGTGAAGAGCATTCAAGATTGTTGCATAGGTACACACATGGCAGTGGGGTTTTTAAGTTCCAATCATGCCTTTAAAGAGTAGGGACAAGGCTGGGAGCGGTGGGTCACGCCTGTAATCCCAGCATTTTGGGAGGCCGAGGCGGGTAGATCATGAGGTCAAGAGATCGAGACCATCCTGGCCAACATGGTGAAACCCTGTCTCTACTAAAAATACAAAAAAAATTAGCTGGGCGTGGTGGCGCGTGCCTGTGGTCCCAGCTACTCGGGAGGCTGAGGCAAGAGAATTGCTTGAACCCGGGAGGTGGAGGTTGCAGTGAGCCGAGGTCACGCCACTGCACCCCAGCCTGAAGCCTGGTGACAGAGTGAGACTCTGTCTCAAAAAAATAAAAAAAAAAGAGTAGGGACATACCCTTCCATTCATTAGTTTCTTCTTTTTCAGCAGTGAAAATGTGAGCATGGCTGTGAACCAAACCAAGACTAGGCAGTCAAGGGCAGCACCTTACTCATGGGAGTAACAAGCAGAAACCCTATAGCAGTTCAGACAATTATGTCAGAGAGACAAACTATTGCATGTATTCTAAGACAGGTTTTTTTCCCCGCTAGTAGTAATGTTCTGGAATCAGAAACATCTTATCAATGACTTGCAGTAGTTTAATTGACAACTTTATTTTTGCTTTCTAATTGATATTCACGTTACACCTTATAATTGAAAACATCTCAGATTCAGTAAAAGAAGTAAATATTTATCTTGTTTAAGCTACAGTTTGCTTCTCAGTCACCTGCAGCTGAATTCACTTAGCATACTAAGTGCTACAGCTGTTTGTTGGAAAATAGTAATTAGGCAGACAAAAGAGATAATAGCTTTCCTCCACTGAATTACCTTTGCACTATGTTAAAAACAACCAGTTAACGATATTTGACTGGGTCTATTTTGAGCCTCTCTTTTTCAGTTTCACTCATCTGTATGTCTCTTCTTTGACAATTCTACCCAAGCTTAACAAATTTAGCTTTATAGTAAGACGTGAAATTGAGTAGTTTAAGTCTTCCATTCTGCTCGATGTGGGTTTAGCTTGCTCTTCTTTTTCTGTTTGTGTGTGTGGTTTCTTTTTTTTTTTTTTTTCCAAGTAGATGCTTAGATTATAAATTCTACATTATCTCTTTTTCAGATACAAGCATTCAATATTATACATTTCCCTCTAAATTCTGCTTAAGCTAAAATCCATTAGTTTTGATGTGCTATATTGTTATTTTTATTCAACTCAGAATACATTTTTAAAATTTCCCCTGATTCTCCCTCTCTGGCCTATACATTATTTAAAAGTCTGTTTAATTTCTAAATATTTAGGAATTTTCCAAGTATCTTTCTTTTATTAGTTTCAAGTTTAATTTTATTATGTTTTGAGATATACATTTGTATGATATCTATATTTGTAAATATTTGCAGCTTTTTATGTCTCCAAATATGATCTCCACATGAAAGTTTCATGTGCACTTGAAAATAATGCATATTCCCTGTTTTTGGATAGAGATTTCTATAATGTCAATTACATCCAGTTGGTTGATAGTGTTGTTTAGGTCTTCTGTTTCCTATCTTTTTTTGTCTATTACTTTAGTTACTTAAAGAGGTGTTTACATCTCCAATTGCAACTCTGAATTTGTCCATTTTCCCTTTTAGTTCCATCATTCTTTGCCTTGGTTCTTACACATTTATAATTGACCCTTGTTAAGAACTGTGGGGCCCAGAGAGTGTAATACGATTGGCTGAATAGTACTACTCCAGAATGCATATGTTGAAGTCCTAACCCAGTATCTCAGAATGTGACTGTATTTGGAGACACAACCTTTAAAGATTTAATTAACTTACAATGAGGCCATTGGGGTGGGCCCTAATCCAATGTGACAATGTCCTTGTAAGAAGAAGAAATTTGGATGCACAGAGACATTAGAGATGTGTGTACATTGAAGAAATGCCATGTGAAGGTACAGCAAAAAGGTGGTCATCTGAAAACCAAGGAGGGATGCCTCAGAAGAAACCAAACCTGCCAACACCTTGATCTTGGACTTCTAGGCTTTAGAACTGTGAAGAATAAATTTCTGTTGCTTAAGCTCTGTACTCTGTGATACTTCACTGAAACAGCCCTAGTATACAACTCCTTTATTTTTGTATAGTATCCCTCTTTATTCTCAGGAGTGTGTTTGGTTTTTGTGTGCGTCTTTTCATGTACCTCTTACTTGTTTGTTGAAAGTTGTACATCTTAATCTTATCTAGGGCAGTGAAAATTGAGTTAAAATGCTTTTGTATATGGAAATGAGCACACAAGTCCTTCTCCTGGGTCTTTAAGGTGGGGTTTGACTTAATCATTAACAGTGGGAGCCAGGTGTTGTGGCTCATGCCTGTAATAGCAACTGTTCATGAGGCTGCCAGTGGGAGGAACGCTTGAGGCCAGGAGTTTGAGAACAGCCTGTTCATCATAGCAAGATGATCATCTCTTAAATAAATAAATAAATAAATAAACAAGCAGTGTGGCGGTGCATGCCCTTCCAGAGACTGGAGGGGTGGATTCCTTGAGCCCAGGAGTTCAAGTGAACTGTAATCACATCACTGCAGTCAGCCTGGGTGAGACTCTAAAAATACAACCAAAAAAAGAGTTGGTTTGGGTCTGTGATTTGTTCGTGCTGTGATTATCCTCACTGTTTCACACACTTTAAATTCCTGTCATGATAGCTGGTGTTGAATATGGAGATTTGTTTGCCAGAAAAATGTCTTCCTCATCCTGAGCATTTTAGTTTCCGTTTGCACAGTGCTTTGGAGAGGATTACTTTGCACACTCTTATTTCTCTCCAGTTTCTCTTCCACCAGCATTCTCTTTTACTTCTTTTCTGAAAACGTTATCCCAGTAGTGCAAGACGGTGAGTGGAAAGGGTGATTTCTGTTCTCACTCTCACTCAGTCTTAGGCACTGAGCGAGTGCCTGTAATCTTCGTGCTTGGCCTTCTCAGGTCTCTGTTGGCCCAGTGTGTATTCCCACCCCTCACAGAAGTGTATTTTGTGTTTCTGCTTCTTCCTCCCCCACGCAATGATGTTTCCCAGTTCCCTAAGGGCAGTAATGGTGTCCTTCTTCCCAGCACACCCATTAGGTCATTTGTTCAATTGTGTAGATAGCAGACAGGGGAGAGGTGCTCTGTGGAATTTCACGCCCCCTCTGTATTATCCCTGTTTTCTGCCCCCAGGCCTCCATCACAATGGACACGAAGAATTTCTGCTTCTTTCCAATCATTTCTGTGAGAATCTGGTGGAGTTTAGAGAAATAGCCTGGGAGAGGTGGTGGGATTCCCTAATTTCTGCAGACCCCAGGAGCTTCACACTCTGTGCCACCGTACACTCAGCCCTAATCCATCTTTCAGTGATTCGGGCTGAATTCTGAATGGTATCTGGTGTTGGATTTGATTATCCCAAATAAGAGAGGCTGTGTCTCCTCTCTCCCACATGTGCCTGTCACCATAGACCTTTGGCCAGTTGGTTGTTCTACAAAGTTCATAATTCAGTGGATTTGAAAGATGTTGAGAAGTTAATTTGGCTATTTTCCATTATAAAACTGGCAGCAGCATTTCTTTGAGGCATCTGCAGCATGGAAGTGAAAGCTGTACATCTCCTTGCTTCTTTTTACGCCTCTTTCCCTGCCCCTCCTTCTCCTTCTCCTTTTTCCTTGATCTTCCTTTGTTTTATTTGCCATATGATGATACTTGGATACCTAGATGGACTAAAAATCCTTTTTTTTTTTTTTTTTTTGCCATTTTAACTTTACCTTACTTGAGAACTTGAGAATAATTGCTTGAAAATGATTTTACATTTCTTGGAGTAAATGTTATTCTGTAACATATTTTATCTGTTTTTTACTTTTCTTTTTTGGGAGATGTTTAGAAATGGACATGCTTATGCATAAATCATATACTAATTCTTTTTTTAGGTTCTTCTTTACTCTTGAAAGGGAGAATCGTGTCTGACTCATATACTGTTTAGGGATAATGTGAAGAGGTAAAGCCTAAACTGGAGGAAGTAAGTTTCTGTCACACTGTGTTGTTTTAGACCACCGTTCTCCTAAATCTGGTTTATTATTTGCTGAGAGACATGTTTTCCTGTGTGTTCACATTTTTCCCTTTGATTGTAAGCAGGAGATTTACGAGATTCTTAGTGAAGTCATTCATTGCACAATTGCTCCGTGCTGTTATTTATTGCTGATTCCTTTCAAAACGTTCTTTTTAAATGCTTTTGTGCTACTCCCTGCTTTCTCTTTCTTGTTCTTTAAAATTGAGCTCCAGAAGAACAAAGGTCACGTATTAATTTCTAATTTTCTAATTCCATTATTGATTTGGTCCCTATTTTGCTGCACCTGAAAGAGTCTTACAGTTTGATACTCGGGCTAACACTGGTTTCATTGAAGATATTAATAGTTTACTTCTCTTTCGGTTTTTCTTATTGTGGATTTCTGCGAAACACAGGAGGGACTTTTCCTCTCAGATGTCTCAGCAGCTGCTCTTTTCTAAGCTGTTTCAGATGGCTGATGTGCAACCAGGATTGTAAAGCTCTGCTAGTCATAGGGTTTGCAGAAGCTGAGCTATTGGCAGAGATTGTGATTCTAACATACTGAGTCCCATGCTGAGAACTCTTATTTGATATTTCTAATTTAACTTGTATATTGACCTTATCACTGAGAAGGTTTAAAGTAGTGTCCAACTTTCATTCAGCAAAAGTTTAATTTAAATTAAGCCAGAATTAGCTAAATGTTAGCTCTCCTCTGAAAATACTAAATCTAAGTAAGAGATCTGTTCTACATTCTCTTTCTCAGAACTTCATCCTTAATTTCAGCTGCTGTGATATCTGGCTAAAGACTTCATGAGCGTTGCAATTAACATAGATGCTGAAATCATATACTCAATCTCTTAAATTTTGCAATGGAATCTGCTAAGAAGCAAGGGTCCCTTGGAGAGGAGAACTAGGTATAGAACATAAAATGAATTTCCCCTCCTCTTGGCCCCACCCCCCAAAAAACCTCAAAAGTAATCGTGTAATTCAACAACTCATTTAACTAATATTTGTATAGTTAACAGCACATGAAGTTAAAACTTTTTTTCCACACAGACATTTGCCAAGTTTGTAGCACAAAATGTTCCCTGCAAATATGGGGAATGCCGTAATCTCTAAATGTTAAATCTCACCATAAGAGTAACGTCTTGTAGCATCATGAGATATATGAATTTTTCATGGCACATTTATTTTGACTTTTGTTCCAAGATTTCTTAGTTTCAGCAATCCAGTAACATTTTCCCTTATGCACCTTCCAGTCTTTGGCAGGACATGATTTTTGGACAGTAAAAAAGTTGAAAGAAACTGGGAGAAAGGAGATAAGCAATTAAACAAATGTGGAACTGTATCCTAATAATGTATGCTAATTGAAGGGTCTTAAATTGGGTTATATTACGTGCAAAGCTTTCTTTGGAAAAGTATGTGCTTTGTTCCAGGGTAGATTTGGGAAAAAAAGAGATTAAAAGAATTGAAATCATGTGCATATTCATTCACTCATTCATCCTTTTTCCATTTAATTTATTCTTTTAAAAATATATGATGTGTTCTATCAGCCAGGAAATGCACCAGACATTAGGATAAAACAATGAACATTCAAGCCTCAAGGAACTAAAATGTTTAAAGGAAAAATAGAAATTAAAAATTTTAGTCATCCAGTAACACATCAGAAATTTGGGAAGTTTATATCACACTAGAGTAGTTATTCAGAAGCAATATTTGTGCTATAGATGGTCCCCTCAAATCAAATAGGTTCATCTCTACTATCACACAAAAGGATCTTGACATCTAAAAATGTCCTCTTACCACCTTCATAATTTATAATATTTCCCAGCAAATTTAGATAAGAATACAGGGTATTCTAGGTATACCAATAATTTAGTATTCCTGTAAATAAATATTCATTACATACACAGACACACACATGACCCGAAGCCATTGAAGAGTAAACAAAGCCAGACAGATCCTGGAGGGGAGATGACACTTCAGAGAAGGTATGGCAGGCAAAAGTTAATCACTTTTACAATCGTTAGCATTAGGCCAATCTCAGTTCTATGTAGAGTGAGTAAAATGTCAATAAAAAACCCGCAGCCTTTTCTTTCTTTCTTTCTTTCTTTTTTTTTTTTTTTTTTTTTTTTGAGACAGAGTCTTGCTCTGTCACCAGGCTGGAGTGTAGTAGTATGATCTCAGCTCACTGCAACCTCTGCCTCCTGGGTTCAAGTGATTCTCCTGCATCAGCCTACCCCAGAGTAGCTGGGGCTACAGGTGTCTGCCTCCACACCTAGCTAATTTTTTGTATTTTAGTAGAGGCAGAGTTTCACCATGTTAGCCAGAATAGTCTCCATCTCCTGACCTTGTGATCTGCCTGCCTCAGCCTCCCAAAGTGCTGGCATTATAGGCATAAGCCACCTTGCCCCAATCATGGAGAATAAAATTAGGAGGAACCACAGACGCTGAAAATGAAGAATCAATTCTATAAAATCAAAAACATGGAGGAGATGCTCTTAACTTCTGTGTATAATTTTTTCCCCTAAATCTCTGATGCAAGCACAAGCCAGGTTAAGGTAAGAATGAGAGAATTGGACTGAGGTTTGACCTGCTGCCCCAAAGATAGAGATTTAAATTTAAGTCCAACTACACCAATTGCTTGCTAAGGAAGGAAAATTGGCCAAATGAAGTGGCTCACGTCTGTAATCCCAATGCTTTGGAAGGCTGAGGGGAGCAGATTGCTTGAGGCCAGTTTGAGAAATGTGGCCAACATGGCAAAATCCCATCAAAAATACAAAAAAAATAACTGGTCATGGTGGTGCACACCTGTAACCCCAGCTACTCAGGAGGCTGAGGCATGAAACTTGCTTGAGCCTGGGAGGTAGAGGTTTCAGTGAGCCAAGATTGTGTCACTGCACTTCAGCCTGGGTGACAGAGCAACTCCATAAAAACAACAACAACAACAACAACAACAACAACAACAACAACAAAACAGAGAGAGAGAAAGAAGAAAAAGGAAGAAAGAAAAAAAGAAAGAGAGAGAGAAAGAAAGACAACACTTTTTTTGGAGAAATATATGAGGAAAGAGAGAATTCTCAATATAACTTTTACAATGTATGGTATACAATCTCAAGTGACTAACATGAAAAACCAGAAAAATATGACCAATTCTAAAGGAAAGGGCCATCAATGCAGCCCAATATAAGGACAATGCAGAAGTTGGGAATATCAGGAAAATATTTTAAAGCAGCTATTAAAACGGTACTTAATGACATGATAGAAAACATGCTTGCAAACAATGAAAAAATAGGATGCCTCAGCAAAGAAGGGCAGCAGGAAAAAAAGAGCCAAATGAAATTTAGAACTGGGAAATGAAGTAAAATATTTTATATAAAAACCATTACTGGATATACTTAAAAGCAAGGATTTAACAGAAAAACAAGTTAGTGGACTTGAAACTGTCCAATATGAAGAAAAATGTTGGAAAACTTTCAGAGCCTCAAGGATGTGTGGAATATTATTAAAACATATGACATGCATAGTACTGAAGTCCCAAAACTCAAGAGAAGAGAAAGAATAAGACCAAACAAACTGAAGATATAATGATTACATTTTTTTCCGAATTGTTTAAATCCATAAACTTACACTTTCAAGAAAATCAGCAAACCCTAAGCAAGGTAAATACAATGAAATTCGTTATGTATGAATAAAATAGCCAAACTCCTTAAAAGTCAAAGATAAAAGTCTTGAAAGCAGTTTTTCTGCATCATCTGCAGGAAAATAATTATGTAAAAATCCCTCATACTCATTATAAACCATGGGGGCTAGAATACAGTAAAAAAAACAAAAAAACAACAACTTTAAATTGTCAAAAGAAATAGTGACTGCCCACAAAGTATTTGATATCCAGTGAAAAATATTCCAGAGATTGTGGCAAATTTAAGGCATTTTCAGATAACCAAAAGAATGCCTTGACAGCAGATAGTCTCTATAGCTAAAGTTAAAGGAAGTTTTTCAGCCTGAGGGGTAATGTTTCCAAGTGATAACTTAAATATTCACGGAAGAAGAACATCAAAAATGGCAAACATTTAGATAAACATAAAAGTATAAGGTAAGCAACACAGCTTCAAAAGACCTTTGGTCTTGCTTACAAATTATGTTCATACTGTTGCCTAGTTTATAAAGTTCTTTCTTAGACTGATGTAATGCACCTCAATCAAACTCTTTCTGAATAAGTGTACAATTATTGCGAAAGGTAGAGCAACTATGTAGCTGAAATATTTTAGGACATATTTAATAAAAACCACATTTTCATTTCTCTGATAGGCCAGATACCTTGAAGCAGTGTTTCACAACCATTTTTATATCATAGATATAAAAACTAGATTTCTAAAGTAGAACAAGATAAATAAATAATAGTTTATTTATAGTCTATCAAATAGCAACTTGGATTTGCATAGCTGAGGAACTTCAAGGCATAAAAATATTAAGTTAGGGCATGCAAAGAAATAACTTTGGGAGAAAGTACACTGTTGTTTGAAAATGTTTTCACTTCAAGACAATTATAACCTGAAATAATTAGGTTAAACATACTGCTTTCCTTGTAAGAAATGAGGAAATTGCTAAAGGAAGGCACTTAGCTAGAATCAGAATGGGGAGTAACATTTGGGTAAATGAGTTCAAAAGCAAAGTGTCCCTTCAGGGTAATCACCTATATATTGGTGCTGAGATTCTAAGGCCAAGCTGTGATAGAAGAAATCTGAGACTTTCATCGGCCTGAAACCTTAAAAAGGGCCTCAAGACATCCAAATCATTAGCTACACCCTGCCTTCTTACACATGACAATGCAATTAATCTCTGGTAGAAATCATCTTTAATTTTTCCTTATGAATCCCGTTAATGGAGCTCAACCAAATAAAAAAAAATTGTCAAATACTTCAGGAAACAAGCCAACATATCAACAGGAAATACAAAGAATGAATTTGGTCCCCAAGGACTTTAGATATTTAAATAATCTTATGTATTATAAATAATAATATTTAGATGATTTTAATAAAAGAAGAAATAAAAACTGATCACATAACAAAAAATTAAAAACCACCAAAAGCTAATAAGTTTGAAAATACATCCTTAGAAACAAAAAATATTATCGTTGAAATTAGAAACTCAGTGAATGAGAGCCGATTAGACACAGGAAAAGGGATAATTTGTAAATGGAAAGATATATCTGAAAATATTGCTAAGAATTTAGAACAAACTGCAAGGACAAAATGTGAAGTTAGGTGAAATAGAAGACAGAAAGCAAAGGCCCACACTGCATATCTAATTTGAGTCCCAGAAAGAAAATAAAGAGAAAGTAGAAAAAGAATTTGGAATGATGGTTGAATAGCTCGACTAAGTTTTACTTTACATATTTTAAGTCTATTTTGCTTTTTTAAGGTCAAACACATTTGGATTTGGTGTACTTTCATAATGAATAAGTAGAACCTTAGAAGAGGTGCCTTATACATCTGTAACAATTGAATGAGGATAAGAAAACAGATTTGGAAGCATTTAAAACGAGAGTTTTATTTATTATCTTCCTGTGTTGCAGGTATAAGGACTATAGGAAAGTGCTTTTGCTTTGGGGACAGTATCTCACAAAGTTAAGAAAAATATTATGTTATATGAGGTAGTTTTTAGATCGTAGTTGGGGGGGCTAGTTAATAATTTAGACATAGTGAATAAGTCATTCTAATAGAATTATTTCAGGATGTTATAAAAAGATATGTAATGTTTCAGTATAGAATTAAAATGTAAATTAAAAAATTAAAATCAAATAATCTAAGAAAATATAAAGGCCGTCTAGTGACATTTAAAAATATGCAAATACATTTCACATGAGAGAGCAAAAGAAAGAATAACAAAATCACGATGGTCATTGAAGACAGTTTTTCAATTTTTTAATGTTTTAATATGTAATAACATTAAAAAATTGAAAAACTGTCTTCAATGACCATGAATTTTAAGAGGAAAGAAATTTAAATCCCAACCTGTACTTGCGCATACCCCAGTAAAGAATAAAATACAATTGTTTCAATGAAATGCTTTTAAATTCATTTAAAACTCATTGTATAAGCTCATTTGTCCCATTTTGCCTTGGCCCTTTATATATTAATATTTTTATCATAATTAAAATGAGTCCATGAAAAGTAGTAATCTAAATCATTCCTCTATTGAGATAGAGAAGTTTCTCCTCTATTCAGATAACTTCAAAGAAAATCAAGGCTACTGTTCATGCTTAGTTACTCAGGAATTTGGTAATTCAAAATAATATTACC